ATTGGCGTATAAAACTGCCTTGAAAGTCGGCATATGAAATCATTCCTGTCAATTTAAAGAGTCTAACACACTCCACTTATACTTTTTTCCTGTTAGCTTCTTCAAAACAGATTTCAGATGATTTACAAGACTCACAGCGGTCGGAAAATTGTTGCAAGTTTGTACTTACGAAAGTTAGTCAAACTGATCAGATGTCTCGAACTGCGTAACAACTCAAACAGTCAGTAAATTAAACTAAATTCCAAATACAAATTTGTTGCATAATCAAAAGCAATAAACATTTATACATATACAGAGCGGACTGACTGAGTTTTTACTTTTACAATATTTCCGCAATGTTTCGTATGTTTCACTCTCGCTTAGAATCACTGCAGTAGAAAAACTGTTTTTTTGTGATACACTTTAATAATTATCTCCTTAGTATCAGTAGCCGAAGAGAAAATGATGGGACTTGAAGACTTAGTAGCCTTGTTAACAACATGAACATGAAATATCACATTGGCATATGAAATCACTTCCATAAATTGAAAGCGCCTGCAGTCTGGTCCATTGCACACATATTTTGCTACCTTTAGTTTCTCCAAAAAAGGTTTCAAAAGACCACCGAGTCGTGTAAATTGAGGCAAGTTAATGAATGGAAGTTGATTACTCCTCAGTGTTCGTTACAATGAGTTCGCGATATGAAAACGCATCCAGCGGTTGGTTTGCCGAGCTGAAACACTGATGCTTATATTCAGTCGTCGTGCTCTGATTTGATTCTAGCGCACTCTGTAAAACAGTACCCCCCGCTTGTGAGAACACTAGAATACAGTTGACTTGTCTCACACTTCAGTGCAATTTTGCTGCCTTTGAAACATGTGTGGCATATCCTAGTAAACAAGTAGTTGAAGCTACAAAGTAATTTTCAGACCACTCTTATGTCAGTCGTGTTAGCTCGAAGTGCACGTCGCTTCACAGGAAAGCGTAGTATATTCTGGTAAACGAGTGAATGAAGACGTACAAAATACTCTTACGTCTGGGCGAAGAAAACTCTACAGCAATCACAGTTCTGACAAGAATTTACTCGTGTCACTCTTAATAAATTTTATAGACAGGCACCAATTCACTAAGCTACACTATATGCATGACTATTGAATAAAGCAAAGTGATCGTTACTAAGGCTGTTCTCCATCTTGTGTAAGCATGATTTAAGGGCTAAATTGATTCTATTCCTGGTCAATACCCAGTTCATACTGCCAAATTTGATTCTTCAGTGGGGCGTTATTTGCATCTTAATCAAGAATTGGATTTCTCAGCGTTGATATTTCATTCTAGCTGCCAAATCTAGACTTTGTTGAATGCTGCATTTCAATCAACGTGATAGAAACCCGCCGATTTAGCTTTTGAATAAAGCGAAGAGAATAAGTCTCTTTCAGTCGCTAAGTCGTACCGAGTCAATTAATATGAACTGAGCAGTTTTTATTTATTGCTTTAAACTCTTACCAAGATGATAAATATCTATTTCTCTTATTCTATCTCTCTCGCATGTTTCAAATGTTACCCTTAAATCAGCCAATGATCCCCTGCAAAGAAGAAACATAGGCGTGCTATGCATGTAAGAGTAATTTTTTTGGGGGTGGGTGGATTACTTGAAACATTGTAAGTGATGCCTACATTCTTACAAAAGGAAATAAGAGTATTAATGCGGAAAAGAACGAAAATGTCGGATTAACTCACACACAGGTAGTAGTGGTAGATTGTGTGTGTTGTGCGAATAACTGTAACCAAAAATAAACTGTATTGGTGCCACAGATACCTGTTAGTAAAAAATGCAGACTGCAGACCGGATAAAAATGTAGACTAGGTACTTAATGTAGACTGCAGACTGCAGAGTGGGTATAAAACGCAGACTGACAATCTAAAGAGTTTTTTCGTCTAGTATGTGAAATAACATGTCATCTTACAACTTACCGAGCGTCACGCGATCGCATTTCCGCGATCAGCTTTCACGATTATTTGCACTATTTTGGAATATTCCTAGCCAATTTCATGATGAAAATCGATCGTTACATAATTTCAAGCCTTCATATAGTCTTCTCACTTTGCGCGCGAGTTGGTTGGTGTGATGTCTGTACAGATTTTACCAACGTAATAAAAGTAGATGTAGACTTAAACGAGATGTCACTATTGAATATTTAACACGCGTAACATTCGAGAAACAATTGACAGCTTTGCACATGGTCCATAGTATCATCTTTTTTAAGCGGAATGTGTTTATTTTGTTGTCAAAAATGCAAACCGAGACCAAAACTGTTCCTTCGACTTGATATATTTTCGACGTTAGTAGATCACGTCATATTAACTAACCCTCGTAAATCATTCATTCCACATAACAAAATCAAATAAACATGCTAACGAATTCGTCCTTGGCCAAACACAAACGACTCCACAAGATCACTTTCTCTCAGGCATCGAAAACATTCACAAAATCGTCTACAGTTAATTTTAATCAGACACTCATCTAGAGATAGCACCGAGCAAACCAATCCAGAAAAATATAATCGGTACACTCAACAAATCATAAATCTTGCAACACAGCTTGTTTTAATAAAGTGTTTTAATAAAAAAACTTAAAAATGGTATAAGGAGGGTTCGCCCCTTCTGCTTTTAAAAAATGAACATAAAATTCAAAACACTCAATGTGCCTCGTTGATCTTTCATCTCCGTAGAGATCACGAGGAACAATTTTTCCTCGTGTCTGGGCCTCTTAAAAAATGGAATGATATTGCGTTCTTTAAATTGCTCACGTGTATGGAATCGATGAATATACAATAAAAAATATCACGCTAAATAGATAAAAGTAAGTGTATTAACGATTGAATATTTGAATAGAGAAAGATATCCCGCCGAACATTTTGTCCAGCGGTAATACCCCATTCACCATTTCAGTCCCCTCTCGGTCTTACTGAATAACTTAAAGTTCACTGCTCACTTAAAACATATAAGCTGCAATAATTTTCTGCCTATGTACCAACTATAAATATCTTCCGCTCGACCAGACGACGTTCTTTTGGTTTCTCTAGAAGGTATTTAAAATATTCCTTCTTTCGTTCTTTCTCAAGATCTTCAAGACACAAAGTTGCATACTGGTTACAAGTTCTAAAGGCAACTGGAATTACATACCAGCTTCTCATTGCATTTTATTCTAGCCTAGAAAGAGAAGCTCATCAAAGTCCTGTCTAGTTTCTTTCATCATTTCTCGAACCTTTAAGTTAGTTTTAAACCTTATATTCATCAGATATGAAAGCGAAAAGTTTGCCCGTGTGTTCCATGTAACATCTGTCAAAGCAGTGCTTATTTTAGGAGTAAAATAAGCAAATAAAAACTCCCCTTTACTTTTTGTTCCAAAACTGTTTTTAAATAGTTTTGGTAAAATATCAAAAAAACACGATTGGCGAGGAACAGACAATTCGAGTCAGTGTTTTCTTATTTCATTTGTATAATTTTCTAATAAAAGCACCTTGAGGACTTTAAAATACAAAACTAAAATGTTTACTTCGTAATAACATTTTAATTAATTGGCATTAGAGAAGTAAAAACCCAAGCTTAGGAATATAGCTTATAAATTAATCTTCCAACAACAAGAGAAAACTTGAAATTAAATGGCGGGAAAAGATGATATTCGTGTGTGCCATATGGCGCTTGCTTTTTCTTCACTTTTAGATCAGCATTTTATACAAGACATGAAGTGATCCTTAATTTAAAATTTTAATTTTTATCTTTTTTGAGTCATGACTTGAGTTGTAATTAGTACTTTCATCCGTTCATATGTTCATTGAGGTTAGATGACGACGTTGGTTTTACAAGTCATAAAACTGACATCCTCCACTTAAACTGTGTACTTTATGAATGAGGGCTTTCTTTGAAAGGGATGATATAAGGTAATTTCCCATGCAAATATTTTATGTAAAAGACTATTGTCCGATACCTGATACCAATGTTGTCAAACAGAGAATAATGCGTCTTGAATTGGCACGCAGTATCGGCGCGTGAGTTAAAAGAATGCTAGTGTGCTTAATTTATTCTCCAGAGTTTACGAAATGTCAACCAGAAGCGTAGAAAAATTCTTGGAGCTGAAAATGCTTTTCAGATCGGTATTCGTAACTGCCTATTTCAGCTGTCTACTGCCAATTAGACCCGCCATCTGTATACTATCGTTCGTAAATTTATTCGACTTTTCTTCTGTCGACCTTAATTATAAGCTTTGCATAAAAACAATTGAGGTTCAAATATCGATGACAGATCAACGAATAATTTTCAAAGCAAATAATCAAAAGAAAAGCATGTCTAAAACTGCCTGCCTAGATCATCAGTCCCTGAAAGCGAGTGGTAAAGTGTTTTGGTGCGTTTCAACCTCTACATCGTATTTTAGATTTTATAATTTTTAAAAAGCTGACAGTACGACGTCCGTGCTAGTAAGTGTGCATGTCATAACTGACACTACGTCTTATTGCGAATATTACCGTTGCTTATGAGTCCCAGAAAAGCATTGATAAATTTCTACCGGCAAACACTTCGTTCGCCTTGGAAACGAATTTTCAGTAAGCCGTGCCACTGCTAGCAGGAAGGAGTCGTAAGAGTCGTAAGTGCTCTGTATCAATTCACGTGATAATGCATTAAAACGCTCTGGCGTCTTTTTGAAGGTTCCGAGTGAAAACAGATAAACTGAACAACTTAAAAGGATTTAGACTTTAGGGATTATTGAAAATTGTTTTAAAATATGTATCATTTACAGCAAAAAATGTGTATGTATTTATGAAGAGTACTGTCACTTAACAATTTGTATTAAAGAGAATTCCATTGATTAATTTGCTTCTTTCTTTCTTTTCTATTCAAGTGTTCGCAGGTGATACAAGGAAAACACAGGAAGTTTTAACGTTATGGACATCAATTTACAACTGATTATAGCAGGAAGTTTATTTTTTGGGGTGAGTTACACCTGATACACCATGGATTTCTGTTTGATGGAATATTTTACACTTCTTGGCTATTACCTTTGTCCAAAAATGGTTGAAAAATGGATAGTAATAGAATGCTTTTCGAACAAAACCAAAGTACTCCCGAAGGCTAACCAGTGCTAAGGGAAAATGACTCAGAAAAAACCGAACACGCAGGAGTACTGAAGCGATTCAATCCGAGAGGGTGGAGTGCGGCGAGAAAAACCCAAATATGATATTACCCTTCCCTATTTGCCATCTCGTGATATCATATTTCCGTATATAATTTCCACTTCAAAAAAGTTGTTTACTCAGCAGAATTTTCCAAGTAAATTAATCGTTGGTCACTTCACACTCTATTTTAAGACTTAAAATATTACCTTTTATGTTTTCAGACTGCTTTCCAATTTAGGAACGGTTCCGGAGAGTCAACTGAGAATATATCAGATCCGCGAGAAAATAGGGAGAAAGGTAATTAATTCTATGCTTGTCAAGTTACTGGTCTCCCAAAACCTTGAAGTTTCAGTACTAGTGTAGCTCCACTTTAAGTCTTGAGAGCAAAAGTATATTATTTTTCCAGAATCGTGTTTATCAAGGTGATCTTTGTTATTTTGCAGACTTTGATGTTCTTATGCACTGGAAACTAAATGGTGAAGAGCTGAACATAAGGTCGGTGAAATATAAGCCATATTTTATTACCACAAAAAAACAAAGCCTTGAGCATTAAGCATTGATTATATTTTCCTCTTGGTTTCTCTTGGGGAAATGCAAGAATTGGAGAATAAATGTAGATGTAATATTCATATTTACCATTATGTATCTTATAGCTACAGCGCTGTGAACTTAGAAAAAGACAGCAGGTGTAATGGAAGCAAGGCGCTGATATTTGGGCAGGAAGGAGAAATTAGCGCGTCTTACGCTGAAATTCGGCCCAAAACAGATATCAGCGAAAGAGAGTCGTATACAATAATGTGCTGGATCAAATTGAAAAGGTACAACACAAAAACTGACTCCTATCAAGTCATTTTGGCAGATTTGACGACGCAAAAGTATATGTTTGCAATCATTCATGGCGGTAAGCTGTCCTTGAACAGCAGAGTCTTTGGAAAAAGTACCTTGAGATTAAAAGAAGCACATGAGCGGGTTCGTCTACATAAATGGGTCCATACAGCTGCGACTTGGGACGGTTATGAAATAAAATTGTTTGTAGATGGTAAAGAAATGGATGGGAACACGTTAGATTCTTCGTTGAAAAATGAAGGATCCTTTGAGAGTGAAACAGCTTACATAGGAGGATACCCGGGGCTCCACCAGTTCAGCGGATCAATAATGGATCTATTTGTCATTGGAACGGCACTCTCGCGGGCTAACATCATGAGCGTCTTTAAAGGTGAATTCATAAATAAGAAATTAGAAAAAAGATGAATTTGAATTTGACGGAGGCACTTCAACGGGGTATCAAACCCAAACAACTTTCTTCCAGGTAGAATTTAGGGTTTTGAGTTTTGGTTGTTGTGGGGGAAGGGGCGGGAGTGAATTCGGGTATTCAATTCACCACAGTGCTGGGAGGTAGCTCTTGCATCTGTGCCATCCCTGCTTCTACAAGAACGTGATGGGCAAACGAAAGATCCAGTATTGGGAAACTGACTAGCTTGTGTTTTCCAACTGGGCAAACATTTCAATGAGTTCCTTTGATGCATAGGTTGTGCAGGGATTGCACACGAACACTCGCTTACTGCTGTATCCCGGTTTTATTTTCCTGACCTCGAATCACAAACGAATTGAGTCTGTAGTCAATTTTCATTCTTGTTATTACCGCGGTTCAATTTCTGATTTCCACTCGTTAGAAAATCAAATCTTAAAAACACTAAACAAAAAGAAACCTTGAGGGCGTGCCCCTTTTGAAATTAAATTTCCTCGTTTAACAAGAAAGGGTTCAGGTTGTAAGATCAAATGGAACAAATGTTCAAATTTGGTTTTACTGATTGGCTTCACCCTTTTGATACACTCGCCCACAAGTCTCATAATATTGAATGAAAGAAATCCAGCACTGAATATTCCCTCCTTAAGGTGTTCCACTGATGACGCAGAAAATCGTCAGTGTCCCGGGGAAACATGTCATGGTCAAGTGGAAGAGAATCTTTGAAGGACAGTGTCCTTCTGACAACTTCTTTGTATATTACAAAGAAGTAAACTCCACTCAATGGAAGTTCCGAAACGTGTCCAAGGGAGCTAATCAATATGATCTTGAGCTGGAGTGTTTCAAAAAGTATGATGTAGCGGTTACTGCCGAGAGGTCACAAAATAGTGAAAATGTAGAGGCTCCAAGAGATGCCAGCAATCATTGGAAGGTACTAACTGGACAAGGTAAGAAAACAAAATCCATCGTTCTCATTGGTCAAAAAAAACCCTAATACCACGAGAGAAAAGTTTAAGGATACGGTAGACCTTCGAGGGTCAATTTTATTTCATTTTATTCTTTTTCTATAGTAAACAAAGCCTTATCATTTTAAACATAGTTTCCAAGAAAAATGTAGGTAAAATGTTGAAACACGCGCGAGTCATTTACAAAATCGTATTTTTGGACTGAGGTTCGCAGCACGCCAAAGTGTGTATAGCCAGTTATAACATGTTAAAATAAATGACTCCCGAAGGGTTTCTCGCGGCAAGGTCTACCTAACTTTAACGTATTATAATAATGGTGCAGTCAACGAAGTTACTCTTTCCTTTTCTAGATTTTCCAGAAATTTTGAATCACGACCCGGAGGTAAAGGGAAACTTAGTAACGGTGTCATGGTCACGCCTTGTAGACTGCGATGTGAAAAACCATATTCTCAGGTATAAGTATAAAAACGTAGAAGAATGGACAGAAAAAACTGAACAAGTTCCTGCGACGGAATTTAAACATACACTTAAACTGAAATGCCATAAAGTCTACCTAATTGCAGTCACCGCCAGGACGGCATTTGGCGAGACGCCTCTAACACCTAGCAGTTGGTGGAAGGTCAAAACCGGACAAGGTAATTATAACTGGTCCTAGAAGGTGTTAATAGTGTACCGTTAAAGAGTCTTAAAGTTCAAAGACTGTTGCCGGTCTATTCTGAGCTCGTGTTCTAGTGGGATCAACTGTTTTTGGTGGGTTGAGTTGGCTGAGCATTTTCGAATTCTACTGGCTAAAGGCCAAAATTTGATTGATCACTTTTCTGAGCCGACCTAAAACCATTATGAAGCAGTATATGATTTGAGCTCTGGAATACCATTAAATATTAAATCGTGCATCTGATCATACAGACAAGAGGGACTGTTGTCGGTAGTACTGAATGTTTCGACAAATTGCTAAACTGCTACAGGTTGAAACGGTTTACAGTAAAGTCGCCCGAGAGTCATCTCGCACGAAGTCATGTCGCCCGAAACCTGAGTCGTGTTGCCCGAAATTTTAGTTATGTCGCCCGAAAAAAAAGGTCAAGTCGCCCGAAGAAACAAATACTAAAAAGATCAGAATTTCAGACTGTTAATAGGCAATAACGTTGAGAAATTTTTATCACTAAAGCGCTCTTTGTTGCCGACAACACCATGAAGATTCTTAAAGCGCTGTTCGTTCCTAACAGCAAAGGGAAACGTTGTTCGTTTCCAACAAAATGCAGCGTTGTTCGTTTGGTATGTAATCGTTTCTTACTCACGGACGTTTCGTAAGCTTGAGAAACTTTTTCTTGGTTTCTAACAATACCATGAAGACTTTGACTACACAGAAATCGATCATATGTTCGGAATTGAAATATGTTTGAGTAACGATTCTAAAAGCGTGGTTCGTTTCTAACAACAAAGGGAAGCGTTCTCCGTTTCATACAAAAAAATGAAGCGTTGTTTATTTGGTACGTACTCGTTTCTTAGTCACAGACGTTTCGTAAGCATGAGAAACTTTTTCTTGGTTTCTAACAAAGCCATGAAGATTTTGACTACACAGAAATCGATCATATGGTCAGAAAGGCCATATGATCGACCGTAATCATCGCACTATAGGCCTTGTTGACGTGGTCTAACTTCGTCATCACACTCAATGCAGGGATGAATGCTCATTTTGATTAGTTTGTATTCGTATTGTGGCTAGCATTACCCTTTTCATATATACTTTGATCGGATCAAAATATACATGCGACCGCCAGAGGAAACAGAGCACAACTACATAATTTTTGCCTGTTCTGATGCTAAGGGAAATGATGCTATCAGACTACTACTGTGAAAAAAGTCACAAGCATAAACAATAGACTGTTATATACTGTTACATACCAAACGAACAACGCTTCATTTTGTTGTTGGAAACGAACAACGTTTTCCTTTGTTGTTAGGAACGAACAGCGCTTTAAGAATCCTCATGGTGTTGTCGGAAACAAAGAGCGCTTTAGTGATAAAAAATTTCTTAACGTCATTGCCTATTTACAGTCTGAAATTCTGATCTTTTTAATATTTGTTTCTTTGGGCGACTTGACTTTTTTTCGGGCTACATAACTAAAATTTCGGGCAACATGACTCAGGTTTCGGGCGACATGACTTCGGGCGTGATGACTCTCGGGCGACTTGTACGGTTACTGTTGAAACAGTTGAAAAAGTATAAGTGGCGAGCTTTAATGGTTGGAGAATAAAAAAATAAATAGCGATAAATAACAATAAAACGATAACCTACTCAAGACGGGCGATAATCTGAACAAATGAAACAGGAAATAAACAGACAGAAGCACAGACGAATGAGCGACGGGCGGGCAAATCATTCGCAGTGTCTGTTTCATGCAATATTGATTTTCAATAACACTTTTTTTCTTAGACTTTCCGAAAATGAAAAAACCAGAGGTTAGGAAGAGCAATGTGACGGTCAGATGGGAAAATCCCTTCGTTGGCGAATGCAATGTTTCAAGGTTCACCGTGTACTACAGAGAAACAATGGAGCGTCGGTCTGTAAACTGGACAAAAGTTATAGTTTCAAGAGACGACTTCCAAACGACTCTTCAGTTGAATTGCACAACGGTTTACGAAATTGCAGTCACGGCATGGAGCTCACATGGAGAAACGCTGCGGGACGGAAACATAAAGAATACGCAGACTTTTGGAGGTACTCTGATCCCAGACCGTTTTAGATCAACTTGTTTTTCTTTCTTCGGCCCATTGAAAGCGAATGAACGTCCTTCCGTTGCCATTATAAAGTCCTTAATATCAACAGCAGTATGCAGTATGCAGAGATTCGTCCATGATCAGCTTGAACTCACAGGGGTTTACGAAACGGGATAAGTTTAACATGCGTGCGAAGGCAGGAATGTCATCGATCGCAATAAATTTTTTCTCAACTAATTGTTTTTTTTTTTATTAATCGTATCCTACTCGCTCCAAACATTTTAATGTTTATGCTGCTCTAGGCGCTACACTTCACTACAAGTATAAGTGTGGCAAGAGAAATTGACACATCTTAAGCCTGCAGTGGGAGTTTCCTTCTATGCCCCTTATTTTCTCTTGATACGCACCTCATTTCTAATCTCACTGGATTCAGATTTAGCAATTCAAGCTCTTAGCCGGAAAACATTATTCTGTGATGGTGTGATGTGTTACCTCCTCTTACAGATTCACCATCGCCTATTGAACACAGTTCAATCACAATTTTAGAAGACTGTAAAGTGAACGTTTCTTGGAATCCCCCGAAGGACAATGGCTGCCCTTTAAAGGAGTACACAATTCACTACAGAGAGATTCCAGACTCATATAGCGCGTGGCACGAAATACGTATATCTGACGTTAGACGAACGCACAACATTATTTCGCTTAAGTGTGGTCAGCAATACCAGCTAGCACTGACGGCGTCTAATTCTGCAGGAGAAAGCAAAATGTCACCTCCTCATAACATAACAACTACAGGTATTTCAAAGCGGTTTTTACGAATTTAATGTTTTTTCTATTTTACTTGAGAACCGTTTGAAACCGTTGACAAAGTTAATGAAAAAAATATCTTGTTCCTTTCTTTTTACTCTTTTCCGAGCCTTGATGACGAACCAACACAGTTTTGTACATTCCATGTTTTTCCCCCTCCTATCTTGAGAACGTGTCGGAGACTTTGTCAAAATCAATGCAAGGAAATTGTCTTGTTCCTTTTTCTTACTTTTATCCGACCGCCTATTATGACAAGGTAGGTTATTTTTGGCTGCAAACGAATTAATATGAAATATCAATTAGTCTCATTAGGCAAAACACCAATCACAAACGAAGGAAGTGGTAGTGGTGCTGACGACTCCAACGTAGTCATTGCTGGTATAGTTAGTAGCTGTGTTGTAATTATCCTGCTTGTGTCCATAACGATCCTAATCGCAAGATGGAGGAAAAAGAAAACAAATTCTACCAGTGGAAGGTGAGGATTTTTTAACAACATTTTATTATGCGATAACAAGATCAAATAAGACTGACAATTTCTATGGAATTCTATTTGCCACAAACTTCCCAGAGTTATAAATGTTTTACAGTCGAGCCCTTGACGATACTAATGAATTTAAGTCACTCTTACAACATATTCAACACATATTTCTTAGATCAGCAAAGTGGAAAATTGTCCACCTTCTTCACCAAGAGACCCCACCTCAGCGAGTGACTTTTATGGAAGAGCTTGGTCGTGGTGCATACGGAAAAGTCCACAAAGGTGTAATGATGAAAATTGTAAGCGTCGAGGTTTTTTTCAAACCCAAAGAAGAGAGACTGGATATCAGTGAAGGCATAGTTGTTGCTATTAAAACACCTCTAGGTAATTATTGCAGTCATAATTTGTTCCATTTGGAGCTGAACAATTCTGTCCGTTCTCCTCGCGGGTTCAATTTAAGCAAATATCGTGATCTGCATATGATTGCTTCCGACAAGTCACCCCGTTTTCGAAAAGGATGCAGGTATCCAAACGATGGCTTCACTTGTTTTTAGGCGTTTATGAAATCAAATCAAATTTACGTATTTAACTCATCTCAACTAGCTATAGAGTGCCCTGATTGGATAAATCAATGCATTAAAAACAAAGATTAATATGTCAAAGCATTTACAGTGAGCGAGTAAAGACCATCAGAACAGAATGTAGTTACACTTCGAGTTTAAAAAATTTTCTATCAAACAGAAAGCATTCCTCAAATTGGAAAAGCCATGATTATCAATTATAAGTATAGTTTTCAAGCATGATAATTTAAGGGATTTTTTATAGAAATTAAAAGAAGATTTAGGATTTTTTTCTCAGCAGGAGATTTCAAAGGCAAGAACTATTAATTTATACTTGGTGGTAGGGATGAAATGAGGAGCTAAAACGGATCAGTTACAGAAACAGTCTTGATAACAATTGTTTTCTTCATCCAATCTGTAGAAACACGGAAAGAGGAAGGCAAAAGGCAACTTCTACAGGAGATCGAACTCATGAAGGAAATTGGTTTTCACAAGAATTTGTTACCTATGCTGGGCTTTTGGGTCAAGTCAGAGCCCATTTATCTAATAGTGGAATATCTTCCACATGGGGATCTTCTTCGGTGGCTGAGAAGCCAAAGAAGTCAGGTGAGGCAAGGTGTACCGTGGCAACCCGATTTTCTCGAGATATCTTCCAGCTGTTGTTGGTATGAGATAGGGAAGGAATCTGGGTATGCAAACCTGTCTTCATAACGTCATAACGGTTTGACTAAAGCCCCCTGGGCGGGGAGGATTTAATCGTTTGTCTGGTTTGCCTTTCCCCTTCCTATCTTTGCGTGGAGGGTCAGACCTTCTTCATACCCTTAAACTCTACATTTATGCAATGATAAAACTTTCAATGAAGTTTGGTGAGAGTTCTGCGACTGCGATTTGAATAGTAAAGTAACCTCATTGATATGGGTCAATTCTTCCGCTAAGTGCATTCATCAACAAACTCGTACAACGTACGCAGAATTAGACCAGAAATCTAGCGTCAATCTCAAAAATATTTAGACAATTTATATTTTCTCATTCAGATTAGAGCTAGAAATGAGGCCACCTCGGATGTCTTCAAAGAACTACCTACAAGTTCGAAAACAGCTGAAAATGGACAAGGAATGGACGACTGTGAACTTCTAATAGACCACCCAGATTTAGTAAGAGGCGAGCACGATGTATTCAGTTTGGAAGAACGAGAGCCATTGACGATGGAGACAAAACATGGCTATGAAAACACAAGAGGATTCATAGACAAACAAGCCATTCCGGTCCAAGAAAACACCATCAAAACAAATACCTGCGAACAGGGCACGGACGAGGAAAGAGAAGAACTGATTAGAAAGGAAATTGTGACAAAGGGTGATATTGGCGGTCCGTCGTGGAATCTCATGAACAACGCTGTTCCACAACCAAGGCATACCTCAGGTCGTTCCGCCTCTGTTGTTAACTTGATAGAAACCACGACTACCTCGAAATGTGAGGACGAAAATGAGGAACTATCAGTAAAGGACCTTCTTTGCTTTGCGTGGCAGGTTGCGGAAGGAATGGTGAGCATCCACAGGGTCTTAGAGGTTAAGAATACCTAGGCACTTCCGAGATGTCCCAGGTTTCAGTCCCTTTCAAAATGAGGGAAATTGCAAAGCCTTTGGTGTGAAAATGATATTAAAGAGTTTAAGAAAACCACGACGGCAACGGGAACGCCACAAAAAACACAGAGTTTAATGAACAGAACAAAGGCTGGGCACGAGCGTTTTAAGACTTTGTAAATTTCTTTGCGTCCTCTGCAAAACAACAACGTGAAATGACCAAACTTTGCGTTGTCTGGAGAAGGTGAACGACAGCTAATTTTTAAAATTTCTATTCCTCATTTAAGGCTGGGTTCCATATTCAGTTTCGAGAGAGTTTTGCTGGTGAGAAACAAACTAAATGGCATTAGAGTATCGCGAGATTCGTATGATTCATAGGTAAAATATAAGTTCATTTTTTAACCGACATTGTCCATGGCATCGCCGTCGTCGTTTCTTAAACTCCCTACTTATATCCTCATGCAAATATAAACTCGTTTCACGAAAACGGATTGGTAATTGGCCTCATTTTCAAATTGAGGGGTTCTGGATCTTGAAAATCGCCTATTCGAGAAGGCTAATTCTGTAGCCTTCTCAATTGGCAGTCAATGCCATACGAATTTCTGAACACACCAAGAATAGCATGTAGTAACTGAGATAAGCGTCACTTTCTGCATGCTGTTTTAGAAGAAACAGGTATACGATTGTATAGATGCGACATCATTTCTTATGATGAGGTATTGTTTTCATTTACAATGGCTCATTTAGTATATAAAAAACAGCCACGTAGACAACAAAGTACTGTAAAGATGGCCTAACGCTGTTTCCTTGCTTCTAACAGCAATCACAAATCTCTAAAGGCAACATAACACAGATTGAGTGCCCTGTTACTATCTCAAGCACATCGCGTACTGCACAAATGAAGGAATATTAATTCAGATTTATCTCTAATATCATAATGTAAGAAAGTAGTGTCTCGAAAGATTCCAGATAATTTTTTTTTTAACTCAGTCCAGAAGACGGATTCTAAATATCACCCCGCGCATCACACCTTAACGCTTGTTTTCTGAGACAGAATGTTTTTTCTTTGTCATAGAATTACTTGGCCAGCAGAGGATTCGTTCATCGTGATCTGGCTGCCCGCAACATTCTTCTTGGGAAGGGCAGAGTAGTAAAGATTGCCGACTTTGGCCTACTACGTCACACCGAAAATGATATATATGAAATGAACAATACGAAGAAAGTACCTGTTAAATGGATGGCACCTGAGGTCATTTCAACCAATAAATTCACTTCCAAAAGCGATGTGTAAGTTCACAATATTTTCATACAGTGTTCATTTCCCAACCAGTAAATTGCTAATTGTTATCTATCTGTCTTTATTCGGTGCAACCTTCGATGTTTCGTTCAGAAAATTTTTCAATTTTTTCAGATGGTCATATGGAGTTTTTGTGTGGGAATTAGCAACAATGGGTAAGACAAAGCAAATGAATTTTGTTGGTGTTGTATTTGTTGTCGTTGTCGACTCCTCTTTGGCTTTTATCTAAAGTTGCTATTCAAGATTAAGGTTCTTAACCATTTATGCTTTATAAAATCACTCGAAAAAAAATACAAAACTTTCTGTGTTTTTATGTAATAATCGAGTGTCTCCAAGTCAAAACATTTCCTTTTTACCCCGTTATAGGAGACACTCCGTATCCTGGGGTTGACAACAAAGATTTGTTTGTTCTTCTCAAAATGGGACACCGTTTGGAGAAACCAAACATTTGTTCTGAAGAACTGTAAGTCGGCTTATTAAATCTTCGCAGACTGATAAGTGTTTTTCAATTTAAACAAACTATCGTGGTTTCAAATTCTCTAACAATATTTAAGAGTTACAGGTTAGGAGGAGGTAGGTTGTGGGAACATTTCTGATGTAACTAAAAGCTTAAAACGAGAATGACATAAATATAGTTTACGAAAAGGCATAGAGAGTAAAAACATTCCACAATTAAGAGACACACCGCATCACTTTGATTTCGCCATATCTGGTGGAGAAGACAATAATCCTTGGAGAAGCAGACGGTTATCGTCAGATCCAAAAGCCTCATGTGCGGACCTTTTAGCAGAAATTATGGCTTGTTTTCTCCATATAACTCAAACAAAGCGGTGTTTTGAAACCCCTCCGGAAGGATAAGCGTTACATTATCTTAGGCAGAACGTCTCTTTGTTAACTATGGTCAGACTACTTCGACAAATGCGGTTCCAAGAAGCAATCAATATACCACTACATTACAATGAAACAGATTTGCTGAATAAAATAATATTCACTCAAGACCAATACAATTAATAGTGTACATCTCAATATCAATATATACCTTCCTAAAGGGAAATCACGTTTTCGAATCACAAACACTCTCTTTTTTTACCCTATTTAGATATTCTTTCATGTCAGACTGTTGGAGAGACAATCCAGACGATCGACCGACATTTGAACAATTGATATCCACGCTTGAAGAAATGATGACAAGAGACACGCCTTACTTTGATCCAAACAAAATAACAACGATAGACAGTTAAGACTGCATATGGCTACTGGTATAGCACAATTTTGTGTAGCATTGAAAAGATACAGGGGTTATATGATGATAAGGTAGCGTTGCAGAAGATTTGTCTCGCATGCAAAACAGAAAACCTGCCACACCCCACATACCTATGAGAGCCCTGCTCCACAAGAAAAAGACGATTCAAGAATATAGTGAATAATTGACACTCAACTACTAATGAAATTATAACAAGTTATCATATTAAAAATAAAATAATAATTATAATATTGATGATGATGATAACAAAAGTAATCGTAATAATAACTTATAAGGGCTAGGAGCTAGCTCAAGAGC